AGATTATTGAACTGTTGATAATTAGCTTCATCATAACATATGATTTTTCTTTTATATTTTCTTACAAGTCCCGTGTCTATGGTCAAGTTTACTAGAGTCGCGTCATGGTCCGAGATGTTACGGTCTACGTCGATCGTATCAGCAAGTACATACAGGCACATGTCAGAAAGTAGTATTGGGTCAAGTAGTGAGGCGCGCGTGCGACCTGTCCTAGTCGGTTTATCTATAACGTTAGTCAGATGGAAGGAGTTCATTATGTCAACGAGTCTGTGATTATTGTCTACAGTCAGAAGATCAACATTTATGTCACCTACAACTATTACATACGGATTCTCGTTTAGTGCTTTTTCCATAGCATATTGGAAGTTGTTCCAATAAGACGGTATACAGTTTGGGGGTCTATAGGTGGTACACAATAAGAGTTTTCTGTGAGGAAACTGGATTTCTAACCATAATACTTCGCCAACCTGGAACTCAAGGTCTGGTCTACGACAAGTGGATAAGAGGCTGGAAGTGTAAACATTTATACCCCCACCCGGAGCACCACGGTCTTTACGATATAAGTCAAAGTTGTCTAAGAGAATGTCATCGTCTGCTACAGAACTGTCACTGGATTAAGTCCCCTAAATAATCAATAGAATTATACAGCCCACCGTTCCCGCTACATGTGGTTAGCATATATCGACACCACGGAGAAAAGCGCACTACCAGTGTTTGTTTCTTTGACATGGCTGTCGACGGTCTTCAGATTGCCACGCAGGGCTTCGACTTTAAGGGTTACCTACAAGGACCGTACCCAATGATCTCAATATGATGGGTAGGTAAATAGGACGTGTTAACATTTCATAAACACGTTATGTGTATAGGGTCGTCGAATTTATGTGTGTTACATGTGTGTTTTGACTTGTTTACATTAGTTACGTCTCGCGGCACGTCTGCAAATATACCACATGTGCATTTTGGGCGTATAAGCAACTAATCATAAACATATTCTCAAACATTCAAGTATCGTAATATAATGACATGTGGGTAGGATGAGCTTAGTGTACTGAAAAGCACTGCCTGATTACTATATATATATAAGCTCTATGTCGCTGCTTACACGTACGGCCTGGCTAGGTTTGGTACACACGTACGGCCTGGCTAGGTTTGGTACACACGTACGGCCTGGCTAGGTTTGGTACACACGTACGGCCTGGCTAGGTTTGGTACACACGTACGGCCTGGCTAGGTTTGGTACACACGTACGGCCTGGCTAGGTTTGGTACACACGTACGGCCTGGCTAGGTTTGGTACACACGTACGGCCTGGCTAGGTTTGGTACACACGTACGGCCTGGCTAGGTTTGGTACACACGTACGGCCTGGCTAGGTTTGGTACACACGTACGGCCTGGCTAGGTTTGGTACACACGTACGGCCTGGCTAGGTTTGGTACAGACGTACGGCCTGGCTAGGTTTGGTACACACGTACGGCCTGGCTAGGTTTGGTACACACGTACGACCTGGCTAGGTTTGGTACAGACGTACGGCCTGGCTAGGTTTGGTACAGACGTACGACCTGGCTAGGTTTGGTACACACGTACGACCTGGCTAGGTTTGGTACAGACGTACGGCCTGGCTAGGTTTGGTACAGACGTACGACCTGGCTAGGTTTGGTACACACGTACGACCTGGCTAGGTTTGGTACAGACGTACGGCCTGGCTAGGTTTGGTACAGACGTACGACCTGGCTAGGTTTGGTACACACGTACGACCTGGCTAGGTTTGGTACAGACGTACGGCCTGGCTAGGTTTGGTACAGACGTACGACCTGGCTAGGTTTGGTACACACATACGGCCTGGCTAGGTTTGGTACAGACGTACGGCCTGGCTAGGTTTGGTACAGACGTACGGACTGGCTAGGTTTGGTACACACGTACGGACTGGCTAGGTTTGGTACACACGTACGGAATGGCTAGGTTTGGTACACACGTACGGACTGGCTAGGTTTGGTACACACGTAACATTGACTGTTATTAACATTAGTTATATAGGTAACATTGACTGTTATTAACATTAGTTATACATGTAACATTGACTGTTATTAACATTAGTTATACAGGTAGCATTGACTGTTATTAACATCAGTTATACAGGTAACATTTACTGTTCATAACATTTGTTATACCGGTAACATTGACTGTTGTTACCATTAGTTATACAGGTAACATTGACTGTTGTTACCATTAGTTATACATGAAACATTGACTGTTATTAACATTAGTTATACAGGTAGGATTGACTGTTATTAACATCAGTTATACAGGTAACATTTACTGTTCATAACATTTGTTATACCGGTAACATTGACTGTTGTTACCATTAGTTATACAGGTAACATTGACTGTTGTTACCATTAGTTATACAGGTAACATTGACCGTTGTTAACATCAGTTATACAGGTAACATTGACTGTTGTTACCATTAGTTATACAGGTTACATTGACTGTTAATAACAGTCAATGTTACCTATATAACTAATGCTAATAACAGTCAATGTTACGTGTATAACTAATGTTCCCCCCAGTCAATGTTACCTGTATAACTGATGTTAACAACGGTCAATGTTACCTGTATAACTTATGGTAACAACAGTCAATGTCACCTGTATAACTGATGTTAACAACGGTCAATGTTACCTGTAAACTAATGGTAACAACAGTAAATGTTACCTGTATAACTGATGTTAACAACAGTCAATGTTACCTGGATAACTAATGTTATCAACAGACAATGTAACCTATATAACTTATGTTAATAACAGTCAATGTAACCTGTATAACTAATGTTATTAACATTAGTTTACAGGTTACATTGACTGTTATTAACATTAGTTATAAAGGTTACATTGACTGTTATTAACATCAGTTATACAGGTAACATTGACTGTTATTAACATTAGTTATATAGGTAACATTGACTGTTGATAACATTAGTTATACAGGTAACATTGACTGTTACCTGTATAACTAATGTTAATAACAGTCAATGTTATTAACATTAGTTATACACGTAACATTGACTGTTATTAGCATTAGTTATACAGGTTACATTGACTATTGTTAACATTAGTTATACAGGTAACATTGACTGTTGTTACCATTAGTTATACAAGTAACATTGACCGTTGTTACCATTAGTTATACAGGTTACATTGACTGTTATTAACATTAGTTATACAGGTAACATTGACTGTTGTTAACATCAGATATCCAGGTAAGATTGACTGTTATTAACATTAGTTATACAGGTTACATTGACTGTTGTTACCATTAGTTATACAGGGAAACTTGACTGTTGTTAACATCAGTTATACAGGTGACATTGACTGTTGTTACCATCAGATATACAGGTAACATTGACTGTTGTTAACATTAGTTATACAGGTAACATTGACTGTTTTTACCATTAGTTATACAAGTAACATTGACCGTTGTTACCATTAGTTATACAGGTTAGATTGACTGTTATTAACATTAGTTATACAGGTTACATTGACTGTTGTTACCATTAGTTATACAGGCAACATTGACTGTTGTTAACATCAGTTATACAGGTAACATTGACTGTTATTAACATTAGTTATACTGGTAACATTGACTGTTGTTACCATTAGTTATACAGGTAACATTGACTGTTGTTAACATCAGTTATACAGGTAACATTGACTGTTATTAACATCAGTTATACAGGTAACATTGACAGTTATTAACATCAGTTATACTGGTAACATTGACTGTTATTAACATTAGTTATACAGGTAACATTGACTGTTGTTACCATTAGTTATACAGGTAACATTGACTGTTATTAACATCAGTTACACTAGTAACATTGACTGTAATAGTAGTTATTTGATGGAGGTTGTTGTCTATTGGATTTCGAGATGGTTGTAACGCAAGGATTTATGGAGTTTTACATCTTTATTGATTTTATCAGAATATGAATGGCAATGCCAGTTGTTATCATGACTTGGTACATGTATACCGTCCAACTCTCTGTAACACTGTAACTAATTACCGTCCAACTCTCTGTAACACTGTAACTAAGTACCGTCCAACTCTCTGTAACACTGTATGTTATCATGACTTGGTATACCGTCCAACTCTCATTCTCATGCGTTCTAAGCAACAGTCCCTGATATGCTTTAGTGGCAGTTGCTAGGCAATAATCTGATGTTTCTGATGGTTTTTGTTAGACGACAATCCCTTACACGTTCTGATGGTTTTTGTTAGACAGCAGTCCCTCACACGTTCTGATGGTTTTTGTTAGACAGCACTGCCTCACACATACTGATGGGTTTTGTTAGACAGCACTGCCTCACACATACTGATGGGTTTTTGTTAGACAGCAGTGCCTCACACGTTCTGGTGGCTTTTGTTAGACAGCAGTCCCTCACACGTTCAATATTTTACTTTAAACAACTTCTTCTTAATTACCAAAATGCCAAGGGTGATAATATTTGGCCAGAAGCAAACTGGGATGAAGGGCTACCAAGATTGTTCAAATAAATGACCTTCACCAATTTTCAAGGTCACAGAGGTCAAATATGTTAAAAACTTGAAAACAACTTCTTCTGAATAACCCAAATGCTTAGGGTGATGATATTTGGCCAGTAGCATCCAGGGATGAATGGCTACCAAGTTTGTTCAAATGAATGACCTTCGTTCATTTTCAAGGTCACCGGGGTTAAATATGTTTAAATATTTTAACGACTTCTTCTGAATAACCAAAAGGTCCAAGATGTTGATATTTGGCCAGTAGCATGCTGGGATGAAGGGCTACATTGTTTGTCCAACAGAATGACCTTCAACTTTTGTTAAGGTCACAGGGGTCAAATATGTTAAAATCTTTTAATGACTTCATCTGAGGCCTAGGGTGATGATATTTGGTCAGTGACATGCTGGGATAAAGGGCTATCAAGTTTGTTCAAAACTTCGGGCCAAGTGAGCTAAAACACCAGGACGTGTGAAGGACTGCTGTCTAACAAAAACCACCAGAACGTGTGAGGGAGTGATGTCTTACAAAAACCACTAGAACGCGTGAGGCCACGTGAGTATGTCCATATTTGGTCTAAAGCATCCTTGGGTGAAGGGGAACTAATTTTGCATCAACGATAGGTCTGACCCCCTGGGGGCAGAGGGACCGGGCCCAAAAGTGGAAACATAGCAAACTCTTCAAATTCCTTCTTTTTCTGTAGGAATGACAGGATTTTGTCCAATTGCATATAAATATAACCCCTGACTAACCATGTAATACATGTACAGCAACATCTGGCTATTTCAACTTCAATTTTGCTAACATGTCGTGGTGAGCGATACAGGCCCTCTGAGCCTCTTGTTTGTTAGCCAGCTTCCCCGCTGGGTTAGCCATGTGCAGGTCAAGCTGTAAAGCTTCACAGTGACTGTGTTCGCCTAGTCGCACATTGCAAACACATTTTGTTAGTCATTCATTTGAATATAAAAACATTTTTCACGGGTTATTTCGCTCAGCATATTGTTGCAAACAAAATTCAGTGAAAGAAATTATCACCGGTTACATAGGTGTATATCTCCCTTAATACCGTAAACCGGTGTTTCCATCTGCTTTCCTGTGTATGGTTTATATCATCAGGAAGTTAATATAAACACATGTATGTCTGAAAATGATAAATGTTGATAATGAGTATATATGGACTAATACGAGTCTGATATTCAGGAAGATACACCAAGTCAAGGACTTAAAACATTAACGCATCATGTTTAGGCGGGTTGGCGGGATCCACTGTGACTTTATTG